CCACCCTCCAACCCCAGTAATTAGAAAAAAGATCTTGCTTTATGAGGTATGTATTATTCTTCCTTTCTATGTGGAAAATGCCTCACAATATAACAATTCAATAACCCAATCTCTTAGTTAAATAAGGACTAAGTGGAGATTACTGCTGCTAAGAGCTTACTCTAGATTTGTTGCACAAATATCATTTCCCTTTTTCTTTTTTATAGAACACAGAGGGTACTTTCCTTCCAACTTTCCCTATCTGAATCTCATCTGGTGCACTTGCAGGAAATCCAACTTGTTAGAATAGGAGTAGGAACAACAAAAATATATACAATCGTACTTAAAATAGGAATAGGAATAGGAATAATAAATAGAATCCTACTTGGAAAAAGATTGTAATGTAATGTCCTAGTTGGAAAAGGAGTCTAATGTAGTGTATATAAAGAGAGTCTCAATGTAATAATGTAGATACACAAATTCAATAATATTTTTTCTTCAATATTTCTCACATAGTATCAGAGCTTCTAAGACCCTAATAGAGAATAATAATTGTGAGAAATATAGGAAAAAAATATTATTGAATTGTTGTTTCTACATTATTACGTTGAGACCCTATTTATTGACACTACAATACAATCCTTTACCAAGTAGGATACTATTTTCTATTCCAATTTCTATTTCTATTCCTATTCTATTCTAAATAGGATTGTATAAACCTATTCCTATTCTACTAGGATTGTATAAACTTATTCTTATTCTACTAGGATTGTATAAACCTATTCTTATTCTAATAGGATTGTATAAACCTATTCATATTCTAACACTCCCCCTCAAGCTAGTGCATACAATTCATGTACCTAGCTTGTTACAAATGTAATTAATACGAGGACTGATGAGGGGCTTGGTGAGATATCTGCAAGTTGATCAGTCAACTGCACAAAATTGGCAGTCAATCTCAATGTGCTTAATCTTCTCATGAAATACTGAATTTGATGCATAATGTCGATAAAACACAAAAGTGATAAAATTACAGTGTTGAACTTCCCAAACCAAACTTGCAAAGACTGTTTCAGACCATAGAGTGACTCACATAATCGACATACAAGGCTACTAAAACTCCCCCCGAGCAACAAAGTACTCAAAATACTGTATAAAGTATATGGATCATGTTGGAATCAATAGATGAGTCGATATTAAGCAAGAAAGTCACCGAAAAATTGGCCGGAACATGCTTATACGCCGGAGTATTAGATTTGATGGCTGAAAGTGGTCACAATCTAAGAAATAAAATTTTATGGGTAGGGTTAGAATGATGGCACGTCCCAACTAAAAAATAGAAATTATATAGGATAGTTCAAATTGATGGAACGACCCCATTGAAAAGAGAAATAATATGGGTAGGGTCGGAATGATGGCACGACCCTACTAGAAAAGAAAAATTATATGGGTAAGGTTGAAATGATGGCACAACCCTACGCAAATCAGATTTGAGGAGTCACCGGAAAGACGAATGGAACTATGCAAATCAAATTTGAGGAGTACATGATGCTATGCAACTCAGATATGAGAAAATAGTTCAGAAAAATCTACGGTACTACACAAATTAAATATGAAAAGTAGTTCGGAGAGATGCATGGTGCTACGCAAATCAGATATGCAAAAAAAGATAGTCACTGGAAGTATGTCACGGTGTACTACACAAATTATATATGAAAAAGTAGTCACTGGAATGATGGCACAATGCTACACAAATTAAATATGAAAAAGTAGTCACCGGAAAGATGGGACGGTGCTATAAGAATTAGATATAAGAAAGTAATCACCGGAATGATGGCACGGTGCTACACAAATTAGATATGAGAAAATAGTCACATGAAAGATACATGGTGACCCAACTTTTGCTAACATAATCATTGGCCAGACGGGCAGCATATATGGGTGCCACCCACCGGCAGCAGAATCTCTTTGATATTCTACCAAGATCGTAGAGGCTCTGATACCATGTGAGAAATATAGGAGAAAAATATTATTGAATTGTTGTTGTTTCTACATTATTACATTGAGACCCTATTTATAGATACTACAATACAATCATTTACCAAGTAAGATACTATTTTCTATTTCTATTTCTATTCCTATACTATTCTAAATAGGATTGTATAAACCTATTCCTATTCTACTAGGTTTGTATAAACCTATTTTTTATTCTAATAGGATTGTATAAACCTATTCATATTCTAACAATAATAATAAAAAAGCTTCAATAGTTGGTAGGTGGTTGTTACTCATATATCTGCCTGTCTGGACGATGATTATGTTAGCAAAAGTTGGGGCAATACTATATGCATGAAAAATAATCATGTTGAGAATGGCTGATTTGAGTAGCATTCGAGACAAAGAAAGTAGCACCCCAAATCTTTTCGGTGACTACTTTCTCATATTTGATTTATGTAGCACCGAACCAATTTTCCGGTGACTACTTTCTCATATTCGATTTGCATAGCACCATGCATCTTTCCGGTGGTTACTTTCCCATATTTAATTTGTGTAGCACCGTGCCAATTTTCAAGTGACTACTTTCTCATATCCGATTTGCGTAGCACCGTGCATCTTTCTGGTGACTATTTTTTCATATTCGATTTGTATAGCACTATGCATCTTTTTGGTGGCTACTTTCTCATATCCGATTTGTGTAGCACCATGCATCTTTCCGGTGACTATTTTTTCATATTTTATTTGTGTAGAACCATGCATCTTTCCAGTGACTACTTTTCCATTTTTATTTGTTTAGCATAGCACCATGTATCTTTCCGGACTACTTTCTCATATTTGGGTTGCGTAGCACTATGCGTTTTTCTGGTTACTCCTCACATCTGATTTGCGTAGTTTCGTACATCTTTTCGATGACTCAGATGTGACTTACGTAGTTTCAATTTTCGACAATGTTGTGCAAAATCCAACACCACCTCAAGGTCCAACAAACTCCGGCTACCAAAGCCCAACCTGCGTCGCCGATCACAGATCCCTCATGCGCAGCTAGATCTAGGATTTCAGAGACCGTGTTAGTGTGTGAGTCTGTACTGCCAGTCTTCAACAACTTTCTTGTTCAATATCGACTAATCTCTTGACTTCGAGAGGATCCATATATTTTGTATGAGATTTCGAGCACTTTCCAGCAGTTGTTGCATTGTTTCTAGCAGATTTGAGTTTTCTAACAGTGTTTTCTCTTTGTTTAAAATTTACTTTTGCCCAAAAAAAAAGGTATACTCAAATATTTGGGTGGGATGGATTACAGTAATACTTTCTCTACCGTGATTAAAATAGCATATGTCTGTCTTTTTCTATCTATGGTTGTCGTTCGCTATTGGCCTTTTAATCAGTTGGACGTTAAGAATGTTTTTCTCCACGATGATCTTGAGGAAGAAGTCTATATGGAGCAACTACCTGATTTTGTTGCTCATGGGGAGTCTATTAGCCTTGTTTGTCGATTGTGCAGGTCACTTGATGGTTTGAAATAGTCTCGAGCTTGGTTTGGGAAGTTCTGCACAATAATTTAGGAATTTGGCATGACTCGTAGGTAGTGGAGTTGATCACTCTGTGTTTTATCGACATTATGCATCAAATCCAGTATTTCATGAGAGGACTAAACACATTGAGATTGATTGTCACTTTGTCAACGAAAAGATACTCTTAGGAGATATTGTTACAAAATTTGTAAAGTCGAGTGATCAACTTGCAGATATTTCCACCAATCCCTTTATCGGTCCTCATATCAATTACATTTGTTACAAGCTAGGTACATATGACTTGTATGCAACAAATTTGAGGAGTGTTAGAATAAGAATAGGAACAAGAATAGTATATACAATATTGTCTCAAAAAAAAGAATAGTATATACAATAATCCTACTTAGAATATAAATAGAAATAAGAATAATATATAGAATCCTACTTGGAAAGTGATTGTAATGTTGTGTTCTAGTTGTAAAAAGAGTCTAATGTGGTGTCTATAAAAAAAGTCTCAACGTAATAAGTAAATACAAAAATTCAATAATATTTCTCACACAACTATACCAGCCAAAGGAATCAAATGTGATTTTTACAGCATCCCTAATTTAACATGATTTCTCATGCTCACGAACGTGTGACAACATCTCTTGAAATTCCAATTTAAAGATCTAGCCAATTATCATGCCTTTTAAAGTTCCGATGGCTGCCAGCTTTTGTTTTTACAACTTCGAGCTGTTTGGATTGACTTTTGACTTATAAGCCATAAGTTTTTGGCTTTTGGCTTATTTTTACTATTTTAGCTTAAATTTTAAATTATCCAAACACTTCAAAAGTGCTTAAAAGCTATTTTGGCTTAAAAACACTTAAAATAAGCCAATCCAAACTGGCTCTCCATCCTTTTTTTTTCTTTTTTAAAACCAGTAAGGCTCTCCATCCTTTGTTATTAGTCAGGAATTCAAAATTTAGGTTCAGTTTGTTGAGATCATGTTTGTACCATTACTAAAGTTTCATTTATGTGGCAAATACCTCCATACCACTGAAATTCCTATTCTTTTTTGTTCTTCCTTTTCTTTCTACTTGTTGTTTACAATTTCTCCGAAATGCCTCCATTATCTGAATACGAGACACCAGAATTCCCATTTCTACTCGTTCTTTTTCCAAACTATTGTTTCCTCTTTGGTCTTAGATACATGCTAAAAGTAATATTAAGCACCAGTCTGATGAGGCCTCTTGGAGAACTAATTGTAAGTTTCATTATGGCGTAAACTGATTATTTGTTTGCTTCTCAGGTCATTATCCCTGATACTTGTGTCAATCTTAATTTTCTGTGTCTCTGCTTAAAAAATGATATTGTCTACCATGGTAAAATGTTCTTTATTTTCACTATTTACCTGCCATTTGGTTCTATTGATTGGAGGTGCAAGAGTTTGGCTTTTTGCATGTGTTATTAGACTCTTTTTCAAGTCGTGTATTTCTGTTTATTCATTGTAATCTACTTATCCTTGGCAGCTTGTCAAAATCTCATTCTTGAAGAATGAACGCACATTTTTGAGGAAAATTGTTGAGATGATTCTGGCTTTAGCACTCGAGGGAACAATCTCAAAAATGGAAATCTTGAGTGCTTATTTGTGTAAGGTCAAGTACATCTTTATTTATTGCTATCATAACTTCATTCACAAATTACTTCAGCGTCTGGAAAATAAAAGCATTTTGCCTTTGTTTCTTTCTTCGTAGTAATTTATTTTTTCATTAGATCAATTTGTTTATAGTCCAGTTGTGGAACTTGGGATGGAGATAAAACTGAGAAATGCAAATTGACCTTTCTTGGTTAAAAATCATCAACTAAATGATATTTCAACTATATTATCAAATGGATATACATTTCATGTTCGTCCCTCTATGCCTGCAATCTATTTGGTTTTCGTCTTGTAATGCGTGAATTCTAACAGTGCCTAAGGCAAAACAGATATATTGGGGACATGGTATTTGTGGTATTCAATCTGCATCAAAATTGTATTTTGGAAAGCACATATCCCTTCTTAGCTTGGGAGAATGTGCTATGCTTACAGCAATGATACCAGCGCCAGAGCTCCGGTCACCATTCAGGGACAGTAGCAGGTTGTAGCTCATAGAAACTTGTAACTTATTTTTCCCTGTTGGACGTAGCTTCTTCTGGTCCTGAGTACTTCTGGTATTCTTATGGGGTACTTCTGCATTCTATTGCTTGTCTGGAAACATAAACCTTGATGTGATATTCTCAGAGGGAAAATCTTCCAAGCTAGAGTTCTGAAAAGGATGGTGGAATTTGGATTTCTTGATGTAGAGATGGCAAGCATTGCTGTAAAACAACCTCTCAGATTCAATTCTGAAAGCCCAGATCATCCAGATGGGTCCTTGGTTATATCGTCTTTCTCTAATGAGGTAAATACAGAGTATTTTTCTTCGACATATTAAAAGAACATATCTTTCTTTCCAGTTTCGTTTCAATTCTGATCTTAAATTTTGTGCCAGTGCATTTTCCCTGTACAAAACTCAATGAGATGAATCATCTTTGTCAAATCCGTACAACAAGATCATAGTTTGTCAGCTCCTTTTCCCATAGTTCCTCAGTTGAAGATCATTTTCCATGTTACATCTATTACGTGAGATTGTTATCATGATCATTTTTACTCTTTTAGGCACCCTAAGAAAAGCATTTAACATCTGAAACTTATGAAATGTGGTAATTGGCCTAGGAATTACTAATACTTATAGCATGACAACTCCAAAGATAATTTTTACTCTGTTGGTTGAATGAACTAGCTTCTAATTTACTTTGTCTTGTTTCTGTTGAATTTATCACTTAGCATTCAAGTACCAACACAAAGTGTGATGGAGACTTATTCTCAACCATTAAGAGAGTTTGGGACTGGGAAACAGAAAGCAAAATCTGGGAAGTGAAAGAGGACATGGACAAATGGGCAACTGGTGTAAAACGATTGGGAAGCATCGATGATTCCAAATTCAAATCAAAACTTCTTTTCATTATCAGATGTAAGAGATTTCTTCCAACATTCTCTATTAATTTTTGACACGGTTGATGAGTTTCAGATTTGATTATCTCACGCTAGTTGATTAACGTAGTGTTTTGTGTGGCAGTGCTTTTGCCAAAGGTGCATTAAAGAGAAACAACAAATATTTGCCAGTGTTATTTGGTGCTCAAGCTATAAAAATTACATTCTTATTTAAAGCATTTGACCAAGTGTTTGCTCCCATTCAAAAATTCAAATTGACGATACTTAAAAAATGGTATACCCTTTAAAAGACTCTAGTTACAAATGCTGTACTTTTCTTTCTGTTCTTCTTGTCTTCCTTTGGTTCTAGGTTTTCTTTTTATATTTTTATCTTTGGTACCAAGTTGAAAGGGAAACATTTTAGTGTTTGAATATTTTGGACCAAAAAGTTTGAGTTGAAAAAGTGCTTTCGGGTGTCTACTCAACATTGTAAAACTACTTTTAAACGTTACTGCAACTCACCCAGTTCTCTCTGCTAAACAATTTGCTAATTTTTGAGTCATTGAGCTTGACGATTGAGCTTATTGAATAGAATTGATAATATGAGTCATAGCTTGAGCTTAGCACAAATTAGATTAGTGAATTTATCAACTCGTTGCGTGATATACAAATTGGTGTTATGACACATGCATAAAGATCAGTGAAAGGGCATTAGAAGAAACACCAAAAAGGTCCCAGGAGAATTCAGTGTTGGAGGGACTCTGAATAAGTTCCTCTGAAAACGTTTTCTAACTTTTGAAACATCTATGTACATACTTTAAGTGACAAAATGTCTATTAAATGGATACATGTCTTGCATTTCATTGGTTGGTGCAAGTATAGCGTGCATTTTAGTTTTCTCCAAATAGCACCGCCAGACAAGCATTTTTAATCAGGAACTGAGAATGTTGATGGTTACTTGTTATGAATTTCACCAATCACACACTCAATTCTCCATGAACACGTTCATAGATGCAGTGAAAAGGAGCTAAACAGAAATCTTAGAGAGAAAGGAAGAGAGAACATGGAAACTATCTATTCAAGCATTTTGATTCAATTACAACCGAGATGAATCATACCAGTATATATCCTAGTACAGCTATACATACTAACTAACTCTCAGTTAAGTCTGTCCACCTAACTTCAACTGCCAGCTAACCGTAGTTGTAGCGAACTTGTAATAATTCCTCAGCTTGTAAACTCTCACACTCCCCCTCAAGCTCTAGGGTGTAGAATGTTTCAAAGTCCAAGCTTTCTCAAAAGGAAATTGTGTTGAGCATATCCAAGTCTTTTAGTTAACAAATCAACCTGTTGGTCCTTGGTTAAATTCTGCCTTCCCTGATCTTTTCTCTCACAAAGTGACGATCAATTCCTATATGTTTGGTCCTTTCATGGAAAATGAGATTTGTTGTTATTTGCAAAGTAGCCTTACGATCTCAGTACACATTTACTAGAGTTACGATGTTCACCCCCAACTCTTTAAACAGGCCCAACAACCAAACAACTTCTGAAGTGGCTGTTGCAAACTCTTGTATTCTGCTTCAACAGAAATTCTTGATTCTGTGTGCTTCTTTAACTTCCATGAAATCAATGATTCACCAAACTTCACTACATAGTCAGTCATTGATGTTCTAGTGTTTGGACATGATGTACAATCTGCCTCTCAGAAACATGTCAGGTTATCTTCACCTTTGTTGCTTAGCAAAATCCTCATTCTTGGACTTTGTTTGATGTATCTCACAACTCTCAATGTTGCTTCCCAATGTGACGTCTTAGGTACTTGCATAAACCGACTGAGTGTTTACACAACAAACACTATATCTGGCCTTGTAACTGCCAAGTGTATTGATCTCCCTATCAGTCTTTGATATTCAGTGATGTCTTCTAACACTGCATAACCTCTCATCCCAGCATGTATATCATATTCAACTGAAGTGAACTTCTGATTTAGATCTATAGGAGTGGATACTGGCTTAGATCCTCCCAATCCTAAATCTGAAGCTAATTGAAGTGCATACAGTTCAACAGGATCCTTTTACTTGACATTAACACTTCTATCCCCAAGAAGTATCTCAATTCACCAAGGTCCTTCACTTTGAACTTCTGTTTCAATACCTCTTTTGTATGAACTCTTCACTATTTCCAGTAATCATCAGATCATCCACATAGATCAAAATTGCTACAAACTTCTGTCCTTGCTGCTTAGCGGATAGGGAATAATCATGCCGACTCTACTTGTATCCTGCATTTGTTAAAGCTTCACTAAGCTTGATGTTCCATTGCCTGGATGCCTGTTTAACCCATACAAGGACTTTATTAATCTGCATACATTTTGTTTCCTTCTCTTCTAAAGCCCTGAGGCAACTCCATATACACCTCATACAAATCTCCTTGCAAAAATGCATTGTATACATCCATTTGATACACACTCCAACCTCTGGTAGTAGCTAAGGTAACTCACAGTTACCATTTTGGCAACTGGTGAATGGGGTGTTCATGGTTCGGTTTGGAATTGTTTTGGGTAAAACCAAAATCAAATATAATGCATATTCATCGGTTTGGTTCACCTTTTTTTTTTTTTTAATAAAACATAATGATATATCTCTCTTTTATTTTTTCCTACAATTAGTAAAGAATTTTTCATCAGTTTCCAAGTTATATCTGTGATTAACCTTTTATTGTGGTAGCTAAAACTCTTGGATTATAGACAAAATTTCTTAATATCTATAAGCTTTAATCAAGTGAATTGTTGATGAAAAATACAAAAAAATGTATATAGGTAAATCTCATAGTTGTTTCTTTGAATAAATGAATTTGGGTTCATGACTTTCGTCTAATAAATAAGCTTAAGGTGTAAAGTTCATTAACCTATTAGAGATAAATAAAATTTTCATGCAAAAGTATACAAAGTAGTTAAAAATATTTATAAATAATAATTTTTCTCTGTTTTGTTTCCCTTTTTTTTTTTTTTTTTAATAAAACATAATGATATATCTCTCTTTTATTTTTTCCTACAATTAGTAAAGAATTTTTCATCAGTTTCCAAGTTATATCTGTGATTAACCTTTTATTGTGGTAGCTAAAACTCTTGGATTATAGACAAAATTTCTTAATATCTATAAGCTTTAATCAAGTGAATTGTTGATGAAAAATACAAAAAAATGTATATAGGTAAATCTCATAGTTGTTTCTTTGAATAAATGAATTTGGGTTCATGACTTTCGTCTAATAAATAAGCTTAAGGTGTAAAGTTCATTAACCTATTAGAGATAAATAAAATTTTCATGCAAAAGTATACAAAGTAGTTAAAAATATTTATAAATAATAATATATTGTGTATATATAATTATAAAATTTGTGTATATAAATTTATCTGTTTGATTCGATTTTTGATTTGGATCAATTTTTAACCAGTGAACACTCCTACTGGTGAGAATGTCTCATGGTAATCTGACCCTTATTTTTGGTTGTATCCTTTTGCAACTAGTCTGACCTTGAATCTGTCTACTTCCCTATTTGCTTTATACTTTATCTTGTACACCCATTGGCCATTTTGAACTTATAGCAGTTTTCCCCCTTGGAAGATGCACTATTTTCTTCCAATGCCTTTATCTCCAAACTCATGGCTTCAATCCATATTTGATCCTTAGAAGCTTCTGCATAGTTTCTGAGCTCTATAAGAGTATGAAAGACAGCCTGATAAAGGATATAGGACTATTCCATTAGCATTCTTAGTGTTGAAATAGTCTTGATGCCACAATGGCTCTTTGATATTTCTATCAGATCTTCTGACTTCAACAGAACCTGATTGAAGTGATTGACGTCCAACATTGTGTAGTTCTGCTTCACCAGATATCTCCGCAAGACAGTAACAGGTGTTGCAGTTGCACGATCATCATTTATCGGTTCAACAAGTGTCTCATCTGTACTACTCTACTTTGATATTGCAACATTCTCAATGCCAGGAATCTCATTGTTGTTTATCTGTTGCTCTTGTATGTGGTTCAGGGATGTGAAGTGACTCAAGATCATGAGAAGATACATCACTCCCATGTCATGAAATGTGAGAGGTACTCTTAATTGTGGAAAAAGGTTTGGCAAAAGGAAACACATGTTCCTTAAAAATGACATCCCTGTGATGACGACTCTCAACACACACAAGTGTACGTGATCGTCTAAGTAATACAAACTTGTGTAGTCCGGATATCGTACCCAAGGACTTGTGATTTAGCAAGAATCTAGTAAATTCTAATACTGGAATTTTAGACAAGTGTTAAAGTAACCAAAAGAAGATTTTTGATTGTTATTTATATGTACTTAAATTTAAAGACTGAAAAATAAATAAAGATTGTGATCACTATTGGAGAGAGATTCCAGGGTTACAACTTTGTCTCACATTCTTATAAAGTATTTGATTTCATAGAGTTAGTTCACTTATCTAGTTGTTGATTTTCGAGTTTAATATTATGATTATGGTTTTTCAATCATCTAATCATTTATTCAAAGTGGTCTCACACCTACATCGTTGAGGAGGGAAATGGGAAACCAATCCACACACATGTATCTATCTTCCCATTTTGTAACCAAGTTAGACGATCTAAGTAAATTCATATCCTAGCCACAAATTGATTCTTTATTTTACTCAAGTAAAGATCTTACTTCCTATATTCTTTTGTTCTATCTCATGCTTCTTCTTCCGAGTTCACAATGAAAATATAGATGTATTTAAAATTTTAATGGTAGCTAAGCATTAAAATAATAAGCTCAAACATATATAAACAACTAATATAATAGGAATATACTTTAAGAGATATGTCACATCATCTTTCTAATTCACAACTTATATATTGATTTCTAATTATTAGGACAAACATATACACAACTCTTTAATTTATCCCTAAAGGCACTCCAATTCTATCTTATCCCATTTTAACCCTCCAACTCTACTTTTCATGTATCATTTTAATATAAAATGCTGACTAAACAAATTAGTGATATATTCACCTTTTGAAGCATATGAAAGATCTTTTTAACATTAATATTCAACATTTTTAACGATTAGAATAATTTTGGCTACTTAATATAACATAAGACAAATATAAATAATATATATTAAAAATAGGTGGCTAAAAAATTGTCCCATTTTCCTAAAAGAATATCGTTTAATCATTTCGTAATACTTATAATTTTATAAACAACTAATATATTACTTATTAAATCTTTTCTTATTTGTATTAGTACGAACACTTATATTTAAAATTATTTTCACTTTACCTTATAATATATTTAGGACTTTTAAGTAAATTATAATTTTAACATTTTTTTTTCCATAAATTTGAGTCATTGAAAAAGTTAAATTTAAGATAAATACAAAAATGGTAATAAATCAAACTCTAATTATGTATGTCTGAAGTTAACTTGTATAAATAATAGGGATAAGGGTCTAAAAAATATCCCAACTTTGGTCGAATTTGCTGTTGCGATACTAAACTTTCATGAGGATCTATTACCTCCCTAGACTATTTAATACCGTATTTTTAACATATATATTTGCCCACCTGGACATAAAAAATAATGCAAAATTATAAATAGTAATGTGTCCACGTGGGCACATATATACCTTTAAAATACACTATTAAATAGTTTAGGGAGTAAAAAAATATGGTATTAAATAGTCTAGGGAGGTAATAGGTCCTCATGAAAGTTTAGTATCACAACAGCAAATCCGACCAAAGTTGAAGTATTTTTCAGACCCTTATCCCTAAATAATATGTCAAATTGCGGAAAAAATATATGATTTCATATACATTTTTTTATAATATCAATCCCATATATCTAAATTTATATCTAGAATAATCAAATTTATTCAAATTTATAAACTTTGACTTTACCTCTAATCTCAAAATCAAACTATACATGCACTTGCTTCTCGTATCCCACCTGAAAATCTTACCTAACTTGTGTAGAATTAATAACTACCCAAATTGCAAAAGTGATAAGAATTGTTTAGTTCACAAACAACAATTAATAGAGGTTGCAATTATATGCGAATTATAATACGATAAATAAAGTTCGTGTTACAAGTCCATTTAATGATGGATAGTTCACTTGATCTATTCCTAACGTAATCTATCTATTTATTATATTAATTAATTATCATTCTAACGTATTTGTCAAATGCTGTAATTAAAAGGATGGTTTGAATATCCTATAAAAGGGTAGTCTTTCACCCTTGTGAAATACACTTGAAGAGATTTATAATTTCCGTCACCACTCGTCTTCCTATATTGTTTAGTATTCTTATATTTTCCTCTTGTTTTACAACACGTTATCAGCACGAGTCTCTAACCAATAAAGACATACTTAATTCGAAATTATCTTTTTTTCTAAAAGTTATTCAATTTTCTTTCCGAGTCAGGTATACATTTATATGCTTATAACATATCTAATAGGACTTACATAAGTCTTTGATCAACGATTTAATTACTGCATATATAACTTGCTTTAGATATTATTATGATACTTTATTAGGCATAATAATCAATATGCTTCAAGTTTATATTGTTATGTATTTTATGCTACTAACTTATAACTCTAAATTTAATACTAAGCAATATGATAGCATGATAGTTAGAATACTCGTAAGTATTTTCTTGTCATACATTTTGTGTGTCATAAAGAATTTAGTATTGTATTAAATACAGCTTGAAATTATTACTAAACTTTGACGTTAATTGAAACTAGTAATAAATACTTAAAACAAGTAGAAAATATATTTAACTCTTACTGTTTCAATGCTTCATGAGTTTACATTTTTTTTTCTAACATTAATGCTCATACATATAATATATTTTATACTCATCCTATACTTTATTATTTAAAGTATTAATTTGTCATTTATAATAAACAAACCAACATCATAATATTAACTCAATTATTTTATGATAGTTTTCATCATGTCGAATTTGTCAAAGCTTGAATTTGTGGCACTTGACATTTCTGGAAAGAACTATTTGTCATGGGTACTTGATGCTAAAATTCACCTTACCGCTAAGGGTCTTGGTGATTGTATAATCGAAGGAAATAAGGCATCAAGTCATGATAAAGCGAAAGCTATGATTTTCCTTCGTCATCATCTTGATGAAAGCCTGAAGGTTGAATATAGTGAAAGATCCACTTAAATTGTGGATAGGTTTGAAAGGGAGGTATGACCACCTCAAGGCAACTATATTGCCAAGGGCTCGTTATGAGTGGATGCACTTACGATTTCAAGATTATAAAATCGTAATTGAGTATAACTCTGTTGTATTTAGAATAACTTCCCAATTGAAATATGTGGGGAAACTATAAAAGATGAGGACTTGTTGAAAAAGACACTAACTACTTTCCATGCCTCTAATATGATATTACAACAACAATATCGTGAAAAAGGTTTTCAGAAATACTCTGAAATGATCTCGTGCCTTTTGGTGACTGAGCAACATAATGACCTTTTAATGAAAAATCATGAAGCCCGTCCCGCTGGAAGTGCTCTATTGCCGGAGGCACACGGGGTAGAAGCACACAACCAGTCTAAAATAAGATAAAATAATCGGGGTCATGATAATGTGCGTGGACGTGGCAAGGGCAAAAGACGATATAATAATTGTCGAGGTGGTGGTCATAACAAAAGGGAGAGCAATGTTGGTTCTCAAAATAATCCTTCTAAAGGAAAGGGTGATCATTATCATCGTTGTGGCCTTAAAGGTCACTGAAAAAATGAATGTCGGGCACTTGAGCATTTTGTCAGGCTATATCAAAATTCCTTCAAAAGGAAAGGAAATAAAGGTGGTGCCTCATCTTCTAATGCTCGGGTGGAGTCATATTTGACTCTCAAAGATGATGTTCAAGCAAGATCTTCTCAAAAATATGATGAGAGTGTTGAGGCAAACTTAGCATTGAAAGATGATGTTTTTGATGGGCTCAATGATATTACTCATCTAGAAGCTGAGGACTTCTTTGGGGATCGCAATTGAAGATTGATAATTGAACTGGAAATGAATAGTGTTGTTATGTGCTTTTAATGTCTTATTTAAAGTTCATGTACTTAAGTTTTCTTTTGTTACGTTTCGTACTTTTTATTATGTATTTTTATTTTTCTGAAGATAAATAAAATTTCTCAATCTTTAGTTGGATCCAAGATGAGTAATGAAGATATGTGCCTTCTAGACAGTGCCACAACTCATACGATACTAAGAGAAAATAAATATTTCTCTCATTTGGTAATGAAAAAGGCATATGTTAATACAATATTCGGTAGTACAAAATTGATTGAGGGCTCTGGAAGAGCGGCCTTATTTCTGCCTGGAGGAACATTATTGGTAATTGATAATGCATTGTATTGTAGTAAGTCTCATAGAAAACTTGTTAAAGTTTCAAGGTTATTCGCCAAAAATGGCTATCATGTTGAGACTGCAAATGAAGGAAATATTGAATACCTTTATATTACTACAATAAATGTGGAGAAGAAAATTGTGCATGAAAAATTGCCTGCACTTTCTTCTGGGTTGTACCATACAAATATTGGTACGGTTGAATCGCATGCCATAGTAAACAAAAGGTTTACTGGTTCTAATGATTTTATCATTTGGCATGGCCGGTTGGGCCATCCTGGTTATAATATGATGCACAAAATAATTGAAAATTCACATAGGCATACTTTGAAAAACCAAAATGTTCTTCAATCAAAGGAATTCTCTTGTGTTGTTTGTTCACAAGGAAAATTGGTTACCAAACCATCAACGACTAAGGTTGGAGTGGAATCTCCCGCATTTCTGAAACGGATACAAGGTGATATATGTGGGCCTATTCACCCTGCATATGGACCATTTAAATATTATATGGTCTTGATAGATGTATCTACAAGATGGTCTCATGTGTGCTTATTATCAACTCGCAATATGACTTTTGCGAGGTTGTTGGCTCAAATAATAAGGTTAAAAGCACAATTTTCAGATTATGCAATAAAAACAATTCGTCTTGATAATGCTGGTAAATTTACATCCCAGGCATTTAATGATTATTGTTTGCCCACTGGAATAACAGTTGAACATCATGTTGCACATGTTCATCAAAATGGTTTAGCAGAGTCATTGATTAAACGTCTTTAATTGATAGCTAGACCATTGTTGATGAGACAAAGTTGCCTATTCGGTTTGGGGCATGCTATTTTGCATGCAGCGGCACTTGTGCGCATAAGGCCAACCAGTTATCATGACATCTCCCCATTACAATTGGTTTTTGTTCAGGAGCCAAACATTTTCCATCTCAGAATTTTTGGTTGCGTGGTATTGTAACACCCCGTACGAACTAGTAAGACCTAGCTAAGGCTCGAATAAATCTAGTAGGTTGAACTAGAGACTCGCATGTTAGTTTATAGTTGAAAACTTGTTTAAATGATGAAAAATGGCTATTGAAGCTAGTTTGGTGATTTTAGAGGTCAAACGTCAAGAAACGACCATGACGTCCATAAACTAGTAGACTAAGTGATGGCTAAAGTTTGAGGGTTAGAGCCAAGGAAGAGGAATAGGGAAGTCCACTCTATCAATGACACTGCCTCACCTTCCACGACCACGACAACGGCTCGTGGTGAGGACCACGGATCGTGGTGTGGCTCGTGGTAGGCTAGGCAGTGGCTAAACAAAGGATGCCCAAAAACAGCCCCTCCACACGAGCCATTTCACCGCTCGTGGTGGTGCCTTAAGATTTTTAGGGGTTAAGGGGAAGGTTTCCTAGATACTGTATCATGACCACGAGAGGCACCACGGCTCGTGGAGCCTCACGTGAAGGGCTTTCCATTAGACTTAGAGTATAGAGTCAACTTCAAATGGTTATATCTCCTAGCTCAAAACTAATTAGGTGTGCCATGACCTATAGAATTAAAGGTCTCTAAGTCCTCTTTCCAACGCCGTCGAGTTTGCCCAATTCCAATCTTGGAGTAAAAAGTTATGGCCGAAATAGTGAAGCACTGTTAGGCTGAAAATCTTCACGACCCGTTTCATGGGCCGTGGTGATGATTACGGTCCGTGAAGGCTTCAGTGATGCCATTTCGGTTGTTTCCAGCAAGTAACTTATTGGGTCTTTTCCCAATTGTTTTAACTCAAGGATATCTCATTTTTCCCAAGCCTAGGACCCCTATTTAAGTCATTTTAACCCCAAAACTCACCCAATTAAATCAATTATTCCAAACACCCAAATAAAAAGCCCAACTCTTTTTCCCTCCCAAAAAATCTTCTCTCTCAAAAAACCTCCATTGAAGAACATAGAAGCAGATCAGCTAGGGCAAGGAGATGGAAGCTTTTCATCACGAAATTTGTGGGATTCTAAGGCTAAGGTATGGGAGTCCTTTATTCTTGGTTAGCTATCACCAAAAAGCCCTTTCAACTATGTTTTCAAAGATCTCCAATTTCTAGGTTTTCAATCAAATTTGTGGGTCTCTTTCTAAAATCGATTCCATTGATCTATAATGGTTATTTATGATTATATATGAATGTTTGTGGATGAATTCATGTAATACTTATGGGTTTTGAACAATTCCCCACAAGACCCATGATTTCCCTTTTCTTTCTCAATTCTAAACCCTAGCTTGTGTTGAATGATGATTAAAGGATGAGAATCTAGTATGCTATTATGAAATTCATTATTGTATTATGAGGTTATCCTATATGATGTATGAATATCAAGAAAATAGGGTTGAATCTGGAAGAAAACCTTAATGGCTATGAATAGAGGTTTTCAATTGGTAAGTAGCCTTCTATTGAATTATTGATCCACTTGTGGGGGAGATGTTACTTATTATATATCCTTTGAATGAATGGTTTGATCCACTTATGGTGAAGGTGCTTACTTGTTAGTATGAATTGTAGTGTTGAGATAAGGTCCTTCTTCCCTACAACCCTAGATATGACTAAGTATAATACATTATGAATATGAATGATATGTTATGAACATGGTATGGTCTATATGTTGAATTGTATGAGGTGTTATTGTGGAAGGATCGTACCCACATAATCCCCTATATGGATATATGATTCTATACATGCCATGAATGACCTACTTGAATGATGAATGTATCCTTGTCTATTGTATGAATGTTAGATGGGTGATTTACATGGTCTAAGATCCTTAAATGCAATATATGTGAATTGTGCATGAGTTGGGATATTATGTATATGTTATGACCCCCTTAACAAGGAAGGTGTCTATGATGTTAATGTTGTTGTTGTTGTGCCATTGTGAGGAAAATCATGCGCGCACACACACACTCCATGCATAAATATGAATATGATATGTCTATGGTGTCAATTGAAAGGCTAATTCTCATATGCACCTTTACATACTATTATGCATGAAATGTACATGACCATGAATATATGACTATGTATGCTAGGATGTGAGTATGAATGTTATGTTATGATTATGGTAGTGTTGATATGTTGAATAAAAGGTAATTCTACATAAACACTATATGAATATGAAATGAATGAACATTCTCACATGTTGTTGGTTCTATGATGAAAGGTTATTCTCATTTTTGAAACCTTGAGCTATATGATAAATGATGGGTTGAGTCCCTAATGCATTCCTTATTGAATTAAATTGTAAGTAAAGGCTTAATACTACTTTAAAAGGGAATTGTACTTAGCACCGAGTGAACATGAAAATGAGATGGAAACTTTTATGCTTAGCAAGTCCGGCTTCCCATATGGGTTCCTTCTACGTTTAGCAAGTCCGGGTTCCCAATATATATGTTGTCTAATGAGATGGAAACCTTCTACGTTTAGCAAGTCCGGGTTTCTAGTAGCAATCTCCTTGTTCCATAACTATGTTTGCCCACATAGGTATTAGCTAGTGGATCCACCTAGAAGCTATTATGATGGTTCTACCTTGGCAAGTAGAACACTCTCTTTTCGGTGTGGGAGTAGAACACCGGATTCCATGTAGCTCACATGGTTTATGTCGGTTACGGTTATTCTTCCCTAAATAATAAGATAATGAATGAAGCATGAACTTCACTATAACTTCTTGGTAAGTTTGCTAAGTAGGAGTGGGGGTATGGGACCTCACTTATACATTGCACTAGTAGACTTGGTAGCATGTGGTAGATGGTTTCTTTAATTCGTCTTGTTTAAGTTTTGACCAAATTGATCGATTGAGTTCGATTTTGTTACAATTGAAATTTATTTGGGCTATTAGTTAATTACAAATTACAATTTTAGCCACACATAATCAATTTATTCCAACTCTTTGTAATACCCATTTTTCGGCCCTTTTTTTTCATTTTTCCAGCCCACTTATCCCCTTTCTCAAATTGAATCCACTAGCCCACCAGACATACGTACAATGCCCAACAACAATAAAACCAAAAGACCCAGCAAACAGTACATATAGCAGTACCAAAACGACCCCACTGCCCCTGTGCGTCTCCTTCTTCACTTGAACAGAGAATTACCAGAAAATCCCAGCAAATTCGGCGAGAAATCAGTGTAAATAAGCAGATCCGTCACACCAGCCACGTCCCTTTTTTCCACAATTTCAAAATTTCCCATCCCTTCCACTGTTGCCTTGAATGGGGCAGAAGGAATTTGAAATTTCACCCGATTTTCCCCCTAATTCCCATCTATATATTCATCTCTTTTGATCACTGTTTGGGGGGCACAAGAATTACTTACCGAATATTAAGGAATAAGGTTTCTATTTTTATTTCTATTTTTTATTTTTTGTCTCTCGGAATTTGTCTCTCGGAATCCATTAGAGCTTTGTCGGAGTTCATCGAAATTTCGCTTGTGGTGGTGTAAAGATTCACGGTCAAGCTCGTAGTCCCAGAACGCTGCCCCAAGAAAGGTAACCTCTTCACCTCTCCTACTTGTCTATTTCGGTGCAATATTTATGAGATTAGGAAATCACTGTTCTTGTTTGGATGTTGTTACTCGTGATGGAATTCTTGTGTTCTTATGTGGGATAGGCATTTGTATCT